TGATTCAAAATAACACCATCCTTCTGGTGTCCATCCCTCCAACTCCTCCTCGCCTCGCCATTCTATGGGCTGGGGTGGCAAATCTCCTTCCTCCGACTCCAAGTTGACACCCACCGCCTCCTCCCCTTCATCAGTCGGTTTCTTTTGCTCTTTCAGCATTGCCTGTGTTGTTGGACCCTTTGACTTTTTTTTGCGCTCCATCCGAGCCGCTTCACGTGCTGGATCTCTAAACCTCTTCTGTCGACGGAGATGACAACCGTTGTCGAACATATTACCAGAGTCTGGATGAAGAGTCCAAAAGGAGCCCTTTCCAGGACGATCAGGACCACGGGCCACTTTGACAAAACAGTCATTAAAGGAAAGAGAATGGCGAATTGAATTTTGCCAACGCTGTTTATTGTGTCGGTAGTAAGGAAAGAGGTTTGTAATAAAATCATAAATTTCCGACAACGTGCACATACGACTGCGTGAGTACTGAATGGCCATGGTAATGAGAGAGATGTAGGAATACGGTGGTTTTGAATGGTTGGAAGCACTGTTGGATGCGAGATTATTTGGTGGTTGAACAGGCTCTAGGGATCCATAGGATGTCCACGCCTGTCCTCCAATTTGAGAGCCGTTCCAATCCTGGCTCCACGTGGGGGCATTCGTAGAGGAGGCAGAGGAAGTAGAAGGATTTAAAGGTGCTGGTGGACTCCAAAATTGTGTGCATTCTGAATAAGGAATCGGTGTTTGTTGTGGTAGCTGCTGGGGCTGTTCCGGACTTGAGGAGTCGGAGAACATTTTTGCAGGGGACGCTAACACATCATTAATTCATTTATCTGGTGGAGACCAATCGCGTGCAAGGTAGGAGAGCGCATAGCTTTCCTATTGGTCGAGAAAGCAGCTGTCCGCGTCTTTTTTAACTTAGCAGACTTAACCATGGATAAATTGAAAAAAATGGGGACCTTATAAAAACGAACCCGAACATCCATCTTATAAAAGGTATTTTTACCAAAATTTTATAAAAGCTAATTTTTACAAGTTTCTAAAAGCGGCAAAGTAGAGTTTGATGAACGTGTGAATGTCGCAGAAATGCAATGATGATCTCAATGAAAAATTTTAATCAAGAAGGAATACAATCTAAAAAACCTCAGAGATTTCTGTGTAACCAAGATGTTTCGTTGAAAATAAATGCAGTGCAGAAGGGTAGATTACGATCCTCCGAATTTAGGCTACAGATGGCGTGTAATA